AGAATTGGGAAAGATTTGAAAATCGTATCCTTTCTGTGGCTTCGCGGTATGGGATATGGTAGAGTAGCAGTTGCTGCGTTACATACAAGACTAGAATCAACCCAGAGTAGCATTTTAACGAGACTCAAGCGAGTTCAAAACTAAACTACAGCCCAAAAGTAAAATCCTTTAAGATTGATATTTTATCAATCAAAGCAACCTAAGGTGAGTGAGTTTTAGTTACGACATGCCCGCAAATATACGATTTTACGTGTCTACGCCAAGGATTCAGCCCTATCGGATGGCAAGGCAAGTCAGCCTCTATTGTCTAACTGAGACAATCATGGTTCATGTTTTCCTTTATCTGAGAAATAGGCCATGTCTTGGGACATTATTGGTCGTATACGAAAGCAAACTCCAAACTATTTTTGCATGATAAATCAATCTTGTCATAAGAAAAACAAGGAAATCAGAAGGTAAAACCAAAGATTTTCCTCAGTTGAGTTCTAACTGAGTGTCCAACAATATTTTGTTAGGAAATATGGTTTGGTAGATCCCAGGATTGATAGGATATTTACTTTATCATGTACGATGTGTTTTATAGTTAATCAAATTGTGAATTGACTTTGGCATGCCTACATTATTGGGGAATATATTTAAATTTTTATTAGGCTACGCTTTACTAAGTATTTTATAATAAAAAACTTCTTACTACCCCGCACCTTTTTCTTATATTAAATGACAAGTAGTATGACTATAACAAGTGTGCATTTATATAGATTGATTAGTATATGCTATTAAGAATTAGTCTGGGAGCTAGAGATATATTTTTACATCTAATATATATACATTTTAAAGGGTATATTGAAATACGATCACTTGAAAAGGTAGCTCATAGAGGATAAACTTTACAAATCTGGAGGGTTCACAAATTCAGCTAATACTGCTAGAATTTGAAGTTACCTGATGCTTCAAGATTTATGCGCCGAAGGATAAAATAGGCTTATTCAAGATAAGTGTACAATTTTGTTTTTGCATTAAAATCTCCATAAATTTTCACAGCTGAAGACAATGAGTGTGGAATTGGAATTCTGCCCCAGTATCTATTCTTGGTATCACAACGAACTAGTCACGGATGAATCATATCAAACATGGTTCTCCTTTAAGACGAATAATTCCTTTAACGGGTCAGACAAGAAGTATCAATACATTTCCATATAAATCTTGACTAAAACTACTGTTGGTGCTGTTGTTGCTGTTGCTTTTGTTGTTGCCTCTGTTGTCTATGGGCCTGTGTTAGCATACTGGCCTGAGCCTGTCTGTGCGCTAAAAGAGACATTGCACGCATCAATGGCCCCAAGGAATTGGCCAGCCCAACAGAATCCGTGAGATGGGCTTGTACAAGTGCTGAGACTAATCCGGGAGTTAGGAATGGCGGCGGAGTTGGGGTAGGCGCAGATGCAGGCGTTGGCGCCAGGGATGTTGCCATCAAGGGAGGTGGTCCAGCTAAGCAGAAGTCAATATTCATTA